TGAATGACATTAGCAGCCCACGGAGCAAAGCAAAATAATCGGTGATGGCTACATATAACCAAAGGGATGAATTCCTGGGACATAATGTTTAGCAAAAGAAACTAGACATAAAAGAAAACCTACTGTCTGTGTCTATTTCAGTGACATTCAAGAACAGGCAAAACTATTCCATGCTGATAAAGTCAGAAGAATGGTTATCTTTTGAAGGGAGATTAACACCTGGGGCGGTAGGCTGGAAGCCTTCTGGGCTGCTGGAAATCTCTACATCTTAGTTTGGATGGTGGTTACAGGGATGGATACTAATGCAAGAATTCACCAAGCTGCCCACTTAAGATTTGTGCATTCTTTGTTTGTATATTATCTCATACAAAGCAATACAGAATTCTCAGTGCAGGCTAGACATTAAGAGTATTTACAGGATCAATGGCTGTGTGACTTGAGCTTTCCAACTTGGTTTCATTTATTTCACCAATAACACTAGTAGAAGCTTAGAAACTTTTTGATGTTAAATCGTGTTACCCAAGTGACATACAAAGTACACATCTTTTCTGAGTAATGTGGTTTAACTCCACCACAAACAAAATACCGTGGGTCTTATCAGTTTATTTAAACTACTTCATATTTCTGAAATAGTCAACTCATGTACCCATTTGTATATCCAGATAAAGGTTTATTTTAATTGGGTAAGTATTCATCATTGCCTTTAAGCGCCCAGCTGCAGACCCTGTATCTCCCACCAAGACCAGAAGTCATGTCAATCTGGAAAATGGGACAAATGAAACCTGTAACACCCATCAGTATCTCCTGTGAAACCTTATTTCATTGCCACAGGTTGGCAAATGCCCTTGGTACATAAATGCATTGCCCACCCAAGGTGCACATCCAAAAGAATGCATGTGTCTGGGGTGCAGGCTAATTTCATGCTTATCTGACACCCTAATACTAATGGGGCACAGAGTTATTGAGCATTTTCTGACATGCTAACCCTATAATAGCTTTATACATATAAACTTATTTAAATCTCATAACAACCGTGAGTTAGGTACTCATAACAATCCCCATTTTACAGATAGTAAAACAGTTACTGATATACTAACTCTCCTAGGTTCACAGGTATTCACATCAGGGCTAGAATTTGGAACCAGGCAGTCTGACTCCATTCTTTCCTAAGCATTAACATTTATTCTGTTTTTGTTTTAATGAGATACAACTGACATATAACTTTGTATAAGTTTAAAGTATACACTGCGTTGATTTTTTTATTTTTTATTGAAGTACGGTCAATCACGTGTCAATTTACACTGTGTTGATTTGACACATCCATCTATTGCACTATGATTGGCACCAGTAGGGTTAGCTAACACCTCTATCATGTCACAAAATTATCATTTCCTTTTTTGTGGTGGAAACAATTAAGTCTTTGAGTCTGTCTGTTTTACAAATAAGTTCACTTGTGTCCTTTTGAATTTAGATTCCGCATATAAGTGACATACAGTATTTTTCTTTCTCTTTCTATGATTTACAGACATAGAAAACAAACTTATCGGTACCAGGGGGAATGGGAGTGGGGAAGGATAAATTGGGAGGTTGAGATTTGCAGATACTAACTACTATATATAAAATAGATAAACAGCAAGGCCCTACTGTATAGCAAAGGGAACTATATTCAATACCTTGTAATAGCCTATAATGAAAAAGAACATAAAAAGGAATATATATATGTATAACTGAATCACTATGCTCTAGATCAGAAATTAACACATTATAAATAGATGACAGCTTAATAAAAAAAATCTGATCTTTTCAACCATTCAAGGTAAGAGATGATGGAAAGCTATGCATCAGGGAGGCAGATGATTTGCTCTGAGGTATTCTGATAGCCTGGTACAACCCCATCTCAGCAGAGTGAGGTGACGTTTCAGGACCAGAGGGCTTGAGCCAGCTAGCTTTTCTACAGCTCTCTTTTCCAACTACATCATGTTTCCCCTGCTTGCTGGCGTTGTTCTCCACTTAATTACTCAGGCTACAAATAATTATAGTATGCCTACTGTGTACCAGGGGTGTGTGTGTGAATTTTTCCTTTAATTGAGGTACTGGGGATTGAACCCAGGACCCCATGCATGCTAAGCATGTGCTCTACCACTGAGCTATACCCTCCTCTCAGGTTTCTATATTATGTGCAGGAAATGAGAAAATAAGACACGGGCCCTTCCATATTTACAGCTAACATTGCCCTTCGTTTTCTCCTCTTGTTCTCAATTTCATTCGGTTTATCTCTGCATTGGTTCAGACTGTTGCTTGCTGATGTGAGGTGACTCTGAAACAACTTTTTCAAAATCCTGACCCTTTGCCTTTTGACATCAGTAAACAACAGCAGCAGTATCTGGGTTCTACTTCTCAAAAAAATGCCTTTTGACAGCTGGAAGCTAGGTTTGTTTTTGTTTTAATTTGGGAGTGTTTCAAGTCCATCTTAGTTCCATCATTTACCCCCTGGCAGCTTGATAACCAGGGAGCTATAACTCCCTTATCTGTAGGCTGTTTAATACCAACATAGTACCACCCTGGGAGCAATAGACTGGGGCCCATTTCCAGTTGCCATGTTTTAAGACTTTCAATTGGAAAGACCTGTGACATTTATTCTGATTATTTTAAGTCAGGATTTGGTCTTCTTATTCAGAAGCAAACCAACAAATGACTTCTGGCTTGCTGCCTCCTGCATTTCTGGCTGGAGGCCATGTGATCATCTAACTGGTAGATTTTTCAGGAAGACAGAGGTTAGAAACTGGCAAACGTGGTCTCATCAGCAGACAAGCACATCTGTGTGTCAGGAATCATGAAGACTGCTATTGATGGCTTTTTTTCCTTTTCTTTTCTTTTTTAACGGCCTCCTGTTCTACAAAGCATCACTGTCTTCCTCCCACTGTTGCGCTCTGCCAGGTTCTCTGAGAGTTCCAGGTCCAGGAGGACCATCACTCCGTTTCCGCTGCCTACAGGTAATTATGCTAAAAGTTTGTAGTAGTAGACTTTATTATGCTTTAGTACATTATGCATTCGAGAGCAGAAGGTTTTTGCTGGAAAGCTCCACTGTTAGATATGATTTACATTCTTAACTACTTTCCTTTGCTCCTTGAGGACAAACATGTTAAGGATCCCTTGTGCATAAATAGAACAGCAAAGCACAGAACAGTCTATCTGTGGGCTTGAGTCTGTGTTCTTAACAAGCCTGGCAATGCTTTAAGACAGGGCATGCCTTTGCTGCGGGGACTAAACCGTTTGTTGGAGGCAGTTAGGGTGTGGGAGCAGGGCAGAGACAAGACTTTCAGTACAACTCCATCTAGAATTGAAATAAAAGTGACAAGTCATCAAATAGCAAGCATATTAAATTATACAATGACTGACTCCTAATTTTTAAACAATGCTCTTTTTGAGGCTTAGTCGACCTACTGAATGAACCTTGGTACTGTGCATAATTCCACCTGAGTCGTCCTCAGGCTGAGAATTCGGGGCGCCATGGTAGAGATGGGCTCGTGACACCTCCCGGGTGTAGTCGGCCCTCTTCGGTCCACGAGGAGGCTCGCGCGAGCCTGGAGCCTCTCCTGCGGGCCTGGCCGGAGCCAGAGGGTCGGCTGCACGTAAAGCTGGTCTGAGCTGCCTCTTACTGGTGCTTTCGCAGGCTGCGGCCGGGTTGGGTGAAGAGACGCGAGGCTGGGCGCTCAGGGAGAAGAGCCGTGGGGAGCTGAGTGTCCGGTGCCAACGCGGGGGCGGGCCGGGCAGCAAGGCCGGGAATCCCGACCGGCGTCCCGCGCAGGCACTTGGACAGCCCCGCCGACAATGCCGCTC